AACCCGACATTAAACAACCATGTTCTACAGAAATTTCATGTTTTTTAAGAAAATAAATAGAAGAATAAAATAGAATTTTGCTCAAAACGACATCTTTTGACGTTTGTTCTTTAATCTTTTTGAAATTAACTGGGAATTTTCGATGTAATTTAAATATGAAATTTGATCTTGTTTCCCCGAGTCGAATAGTAACGGATTGCTGGCATGGTGAAACATATTTTTAGTGTTTCCCCCTAACCGAGATAGGAAATCTGAGTAGTTTTGTTTGGTATTGACATACTTAATTTCGAAACGGAATGAAGATAGAATGTATGCCCATCTTTGTAGGCGGTTGGCTGCAAAAACTGGCAACCCTTTTTTGTCGCCCAGTATTGCCAAAAGAGGCTTATGGTCTGTGTACAGTGTGAACTTGATGCCGTAAAGGTATTGGAAGAACCTTTTGACCCCGAATATTATTGCTAGCGCCTCTTTTTCGAATTGGGAATAGGAGAATTCGTTTTTATTTAACAACCTTGAAGCGAACGCGATGGGTCGCTCAGTTCCGTCTGTGTAGGTATGACTAATTATTGCCCCTAGACCTATACTGCTAGCATCTACCAATAATTTGATTGGTAATTTTGGGTCAAAGTGGGCCAGCAGAAATGGAGATACTAACACATCCTTGATTTTATCGAAGCTATTTGGGCAAGCCGGTGTCCATTCCCAATGGATGTTTTTTTTAATAAGCTGTATAAAGGATAAAGGATGGACGACGCGTTCGGTAAGAATTTAACGTAATAATTGACGCCCCCGAGAAATGACTTAAGTTCTGTGATATTGGAAGGTACCTTGGTTTTGACCACTGCTTCGACCCTCTCATCGGTTTTGTGCAAGCCGAACCTGTCAATTAAATGACCCATGTAAGTCAAAGATTCTTGCATGAAACTACATTTTTCTTTTTTTAACTGGAAGCCACATTAAGATAATTTTTGAAAGACGTTCTAATCGCTCCAAATGCTCAAGATCGTTTCTCCCTGTCACCAGAATGTCATCTAGGAATGATATAACGCCAGGAATATTAAATAATTGCTCCATGATTATTTGGAAGATGGAGGGCGCGCAGTGTATGCCGAAAGGCAATCTTTGATAAGAAAACAACCCCTTATGTGTGGAGATGGTAACCAACTCTCTGGACTGATCGTCGAGTAAAATTTGCTGATACGCTTCTGAAAGATCGATTTTTGAAAATTTCATTCCCCCCTCTAGGTGGCTAAATAAGTATTCAATTCTTGGAAGAGGAAACTGTTGAAATTCCAATTGGGGGTTCAAGGTCACGTTAAAATCGCCGCAGATCCTTATACCGCCGTTTTTTTTTTTAATATTGGGACGATAGGTGTTGCCCACTTTGAAAATTCTGTGGGCACTAGCACCTTGTTTTTGACTAGCCGGTCCAGTTCTTGGTCAATTTTCGGTTTTAATGCTATTGGAACCGGCCGAGGCTTAAAAAATGTTGGGGTGGCGTTTTCTTTTAATTTTAGCGTGACCTTGAACTTATTGAATGTACCTAGCGTACTGCTGAATATTGGTTCGAATTTTTTTAATAAATTTTGCAACTTGGCGTTCGAATTTACATATAATAAACTGGTATTGCTATTGACTGATTTACAAAACCCGATATTTAGCATTTTCAGAATATTGCGACCTAATAAGGGTGGCCCGCCGTTCTTAATTACATATGTTTTTAGGTTGTAATTTTGACAATCATATGTTATTTTTAAGTTTACAAAACCCAATGGTTGAAAAGATACACCGACATAATCTTTCAAACGCAAATCATTACTGATTAACGGATATTTTTGAAAATGTTTTAATTAAAATAGGTTTTTCGTTACTTATTGAACTGCTATCGACATTTTCTGTTTTCTTGTGAAACACATTTTGTACGGACGTCTGGGTGATGTTCGTGGGACCGAGCAAGGGTTTATCACTGATAATGAAGCACGGATCGTCGCTATCGTCCAAATCTTCAAGCACGTTGTCTTTTAGAAAATTTTGACCCACGTTATTCTGCTTACACAAGGGTGCTAAATGTCCTTTTACTCCGCATTTATGACAAAAACAATTGCGGTAGGCACACTCGGACGATTTGTGGTTGGAACGGCCACAAACTGAACAAGAATGGAAACTTGATGTTTTAGATCTTAGTTCCTTTTGGGGGGTCCTTGAATTTGACTTACTCCTGCTCCGACGAAAAATACCTGGTTTTTGATTGTTATAAAACAGCTCTTCTGTTTCTCTCTTGATTTGTGTGGATGTATCTTTCGACGCGCGTTTTTCGTGGTCAAAAAATGCAGATTCCTTTGCCAATGCATAAACTGGAAGGTGCACTTGCTACTTTGAGGATTTTCCTCAAATAAGCGGTCACTAAAACGCACATCATTTAAGCCAACCGTGAATATATCCCTCATTAATTGGTCGAGAATGATAGAGGCATCAAACTACAAAAACTTGCTAAATTTTTTACGCGAGCCGCCCAATCACACACTTTTTCACTTGGCTCCTTTTTTGCTTTGTAAAATTTTGATCTTTCCGAAAAATACGAACGCTTTTATAACAACTTGTCTAACTCTTCAAACTTCAGCTCCGGCGGCGTTTTTGGCACGCACAAATTTCGTAACAAAACGTAACATTCTTCGTTTAATGTGTTTAGAAGTGTTGCCCGTTTTTTATCCTCATTCGTTATCTCATTCGCGACGAAAAACTGTTGAAGTCTCTCGGAAAAAATTGCATAATCTGACTTTTCCGAGTCAAATGAACCGAGGTTCCCGAGAAAAGTCGACATTTTAAATAATATTTTGGTTCGAGTGCTGACTGCGCCACTATGTATTCATTTAACGTGAAATGAAACTCGACCACGACAATGCAACCGTTTACTCACGACTCCGTACAATACGCGGCCCGGCAGGTAACTGCCGTGGATCGCCCTAGAAAAACGTACCGCATCACGGTTTACAAAAAAACCTAAACTAAACTGCGATATAAAAAACTCGCATATAGAACACTTATAAATTCTGTTCTGGACAATCTTCAGCAAGACCTTCAAGGGGTGGCACATGAGGCTGATAAGTCTGTAATCATGGCCTGACATTGGGTTGTTCTTTTTAGGTAATGGAACAAAAGTTGATTTTAGCCATTCTGTTGGGATGTTTCCGGAATTGTACACATCATTAAACATTTGTGTTAGCCTGATTATGTTCTCTTCATCGAATGCTTTCAGGAGTTCGATTGGCATTCTGTCATGGCCTGCCCCTTTTTTATTATTACTGTTTTTTAGAGCATACTTGAGTTCGGAAAGAAGTATTTCCAGGCAATCGTTTCCCTGGTTTGTTGTTGTTATTTCTATGTTGTCTCGGTCGTCGTGGAATAGTTGTCTAATGTAATTCTCCCAGTAGTGCTTTATTTCCTCCTCGTCTAATATTATATGACCTTGCTTATTCCTTGTTATGCTAGTTTTCCTAGATAGTTCTTTTAGTTTCCTGTGTAAATTATATGCCAATCTTCTTTAGCTCTCTTGATGTCGCGTTTTATTTGTCTATTTATGTTGTTATATCTTTCTCTGTCTTTATTCTTATGCTTCCTTCTATCTTCCATAAGTATAAGAATTTCGGGGGTCTTCCATTCTTTTTTGGTTTCACTGGGATGTTTCCGAGGACTTCTTCCCCAGCTGTTAATATTACATTTATTATTGCATGAATTATGCTCTGTATAATAAACTGCCTACATCTATCAAAATGCTCTCCAATAAAAAATTTAAAACAACAATGAAAGAATACCTGTTTGGTCATTGTTTTTATTCCGTTCAAGAATACCTAGATACTTTATGAAATGTATATTGCCTCTTTTAGTGTTTTTATCTTTGTCTCTGTGTTCTTTTTTTGTATTTAAAATGTATTGTTATTTATATTTGTTATTGTATTGTAACGTAGTGTTTATATTTAATTGTTTTACTTTTTATACTTAAACTGTATTTTTAATATTGTACAATATTATTACTCTGACTTGCTATTATGTACTTTGTACATTTTTCTCGTCTCGTTCATGTGAGGCCAGACCTTTAAAGAGAATGGTTTGGGACGTTAGTTATCAATTTTTATTCATTGGTACTGTCTACCAACAACAATTACATTATTTTTAGTAGGTTGGAGATTATTTTAAACCGTATGAGATTTCTACTCAAAAAAAAATATAGCAAGATAAAAAAAAGAATACACTGATTCAATTGCGGGAAAATTAATAATAATGACAGGTTTAGATAACTTCTATTTTTTTCTCCTTTCGTCCTAACGAATAAGCTGCCTATGACAGAGTAGTAGTAATTTCAAATCGGGTTTGGTCGGTAAATTATCCACCAGCAAAGGAAAATCCCTTATGTTTTGATAGGTCTAGTTCGGTTTCCTAGTATGACATAGCCATTATAAAAATTTCTAGATGTTCTATGAAATGTCTATGCAAGGTATGTAAAAAAGTTAAAATGAAAAACATGTCATACGTTGCCTGAAATCACAAATTACAATAATAATAAAAAATGTAAAATAAGTGCTCATAAATAGAATTAGAAGAGGGCTACCCTCAATTAGTTACATAGGCATTCAAACCAAATTTTCTCTGCAAAATTCGACTCATTTTGTATTTATTTTGTCAACTGATTTATGAAAATAAAGTTCTGAAATTTCGAGCAGTATATTTTTTAACATAAAAGTAATGGAAAACTAATTTTTCATCGGGAGAGGCGATGCTCCGACTTTAGCGAAATTATTATTAGATTTCCCTTCAAGGTGCTAACTCTTAACTGAGTCTGCATTTCAGGATAACGTCGTATTTGTCCAATGCATTTTCTGCTAGCAATTTTAATATGATTTTCGCGGAACTTGCAAACGAGGTTGTCAGACTTTCGCTTCAGTCTTCAGTCGCGGAAACCCATTTAAGTTTAAATCCTTACTGAAAAATAAAACAATACTTACAAAAGTCGTGAACATGTAGTGGTATCTGTAATCGTTCATCTGCAATTGAAGAATCTGAAATAAAAAAGAGGTACACACTTTGAGAAGACAAAAATTTATTTTAAAATATTAATATATCAATAATCAATATCTCCAGGTATAAAATCTCGCTATAAATGAGAAATAAAACCAAACAGTTGGGAGTTCAAATCAGTCAACTTTCATGAAAGAAGGAGCAATTGGTTTAAAGTCAACTTCCAGAAGTTGTCCAGCCATATCCCGCCACACACCTACCGGCTTTATTACGATATTTTTATTTTTCCGATGGTACCACCAACAGTCGACCAACAGTACCAATATATTTATTTGGTCACCTGTTTGGATTTACATAGCCCCTTCCTTTTTTTTCTATTCCTTATTAGCCTGCTGCGATCTGTTTTAGCCAACTTGTAAATATCTCGTAAATGTTCATACATTTTCTGTTGTTGAAACAAATAATGGGTGTTTTTTTCGATGTATAGAACTTTAAGTTGGCATTACTGTTCAAGATGGCGATCGATTTAACAGCGGTCAAGTGATTTATTCTCAGTTTGGTTTGGCAATTCATCATGAATAGACTCACGCCTGAACAACGCTTGAAAATAGTGCAATTTTATTTCAAAAATAATGGTTCTGTGCGGAATACGTATCGCGCACTACGTCCATTTTATCGTCGACAAAATCGTCCATCAGAGCAGGTAATTCGATTAACCATGGAACGTTTTTGCACCACGTTTACTCTTATTGATAACTCGCATCGCCAGAGACGCCGTACGGTGCGTACAGCAGAAGCTATTGCTGCTGTAGAGCGTAGCATTGAGGAAGACCCGAATGAGTCCATCCGCCATCGAGCACAAGAATTGAATCTGTGTCCATCCACTTTATGGAAGATTTTGCGGAAGGATCTTGGTTTACGTGCTTACAAAATCCAACTCGTGCAAGAATTGAAGCCAAATGATCATCAAGTAAGGCGTAGATTCGTCGAATGTGCCCAAAACGAGATTGCCGTTGTTCCCGATTTTCATAAGTGAATTTTGTTTAGCGATGAAGCGCACTTCTGGTTGAATGGCTACGTCAACAAACAAAACTGTCTGATATAGTATTGTCAATAACAAATATATTACATGAAAAATTTGAAAAAAACATAATCAACTATATGAACTCTGTTTGCTGAACCAAAGTAGGAACATATGTTATTAATTTCTTTGTAATCTATTGGGTTTCTTTGTGGATCGTAGTGAGTCACCATATAATATAACTTCCCCATTCGGTTTATACAGTGTCCAGTATAAGATAATGTTTGTGGGGATATTGAAAAAAATAATCTAACTTTGTTGGCCATGCCAGCGTATCATAGGTGATTCGTAATTATTGCCAACAGTCAGTGTCAGTTGTGTGAAATTAATAAAATGTAAGTTTTAAAATGAATAATTTTTTAAATAGTGATAAGTATGATATGTTGGAGTGTCTGCGTTGAAACAAAGCAACAATAGATCGTTTTGTCACAGTTCAATCATTGCTGTGATGTGCACCTGTCCGGACGCTGCTGACCAATATCGTATCCAGATCATCCTGAATCATGTGTTCTTTGTCCTGCGACTTCCCTCTCTATTGAAAACTATATTTAATAATTAATTTATTTTAAACTCTGCGTAACATATTTAATTTTGTTTATTTGTACATTACGTTGAGGCTTGAACAGTGTCTGACTTTGCTGGATGTCTGCGATTTATAAGGCCTTTTGTTTGCCTTAAATAATATTTATATTTGGCAAAGCAATAAATGTATTTATTATTATTATTATTATTATTATAAATAAATATCCGGGAAGACGTCAACCAATTAGAGCTATATTTAGACAACCTTGTCAACTACGGGAGTTTTGCTAAGGTAAAAAGAAACAAACCTCCAGATGAAAATAAATAAAATTTGGGTTTGCAAAGCGTGGTTGAGATATCTGGTACATCTGTACGTCAGATGGAAGAGACAACAGGCGTTGCTCGGTCAACAGCGAATACTATTTTAAAGCGTCATAGATATAATCCTTATCGTGAACGGCCTTACAATGGAACTTCAGAAAGGTGATACTGTTAGAAGAATGGCATTGTTTCAGTGGTTTATTCACAAAAATAACGAGTTGTTTTTCCAACAAGACAGCTCACGGTCAAACAATGCACAGATTATTACGAATTTTTTAAATTCAGAATTCCCCAACATGTGGATAGGCAACCTGGGACCAGTCGGATGGCCTGCTTGATCTCCAGACATAATACTCATTGATTTCTTTGTATGAGGGCATCTCAAAAATCAAGTCGCGGTTAAGATTGTTTTATTGTTTATAGTTTTTTATTTATAGATACTGGAATTTTTCGTTGGTAGAGTAAATGATGCCAACGTTCTAGAATTAAAAGAAGAATTACAGAAGCTGTGAACATTATCACTCCTCAACTGTTGAGAGTCCTGTTAAGCAATGTGAGCATTTACTCTGATTTTATTGTAAAATTCTGTGTATTTTCCTTGTTTTTTTTGTGCGTTTGAGAAGGAAGGTATGAAAAATTTGTTGACTTCTTTTCTAGATCTTCCCTCTTCAATTTTATTGACTCTTTTCTTACCTACACATTATTTAAATGTACTTTAAAATCGAACAGTAACATCGAAACTGAAATTTTATTTTTGTTATTTTCCGGATTCACTTTACACATGGTTGAAAAGCATTTTTAAAACGGATTTTGAAAATGTAGAAATTCAATATGGCGCCTATAGGACAAAAATTTAGTTCGGTCGCAACATAGTAATCTTAAATTTTTTTGACGCCATGTTTAAGCACTGTAATAAGGCAAATATTGTGGTTTTTCAAAAATTGACATAATCCTTTTTTTATCCTGGAGCTACCTAAGGGTATTGATTTAAAATAGAATAAGGCTAGATTATTTTTTGGCATATACATAGGCCCCTTTTCTTCAATTAAAGCGCTTCTGTATATTTTATATATTATTTATTAATATTTATCAACTTATACTACACACCCTGTCTACTAAATTAAAAGCAATAGCAAGATTTTTTTAACATTTTTTTTTCAACATTTAACAACAGAAAATTTTTGTGCACCGAAAACCTGACCAAAGTAGTGGTTAAGATTGTTTTATTGTTTATAGTTTTCTATAGATTCTTGGATTTTTCGTTGGTAGAAGAATGATTACATGTAAGAATTTTTTAATGAATTCTTTGCCTCGTATGCGGGGAATTCTGTAAACTTCCTTGGCTTTGACGGATGGCACATGTTGAGAGATTGTTGGACAAGCGGTAAATCAAGTTTTGGTGTTATATTTCTCAAGAAGTTTTGACATAATATGGTCAGTGATATTTTAAATGTAAGGACAACAGTGCAAGTGTGGAATTGCTTTCGGACTCTGTCTTTGGAAAGTTGTGCTGAAATATGTTTTGTGATGGAACGCCTAATATTTCTAATGTGTAAATTAGAGAACAGCAGATTTAAGGTGTAATTCTAGGTTCAGTGAATCGGGTTGAGATAGTTTTACGGATCTCAAACCATAGAATTAATAACCGATAATTTTTGGTGATGTGACGATGCAGTAAGGCATCGGTCTGTGTAAGAAGGTTTTTTTGAGCAGAATAGTCCAATGTTAGGTACAATTTTCCATTGATTATTAATGTTGATATTGATAATTGAATTGATATTACGCATTCCATGATCAATCATGTTATTCTTTCTTATCCAAGACATTACTGACACATCAAGAGTTCCTAACGAATAATACGTCGAAACAAGATCAATTATTTAATTCAATTCAATTCAATTCTTCTACTAGCTCCTCCTCCCTCAAATAATATATAAGCAGGAACAGAGTAGAATGCGACCCAGTTTTAGTTAAGCTCTGAAGACGCTAACAGGATAATTGGCGAAATGTCAGCGAGTTTAAATTAAAAGCAACCGTCGAAGGAAGACTCCAAAATATTTGTAAATAATATTCATATCCCTCCTTTAGCTCCGCCCCCCTGGAACAGTATTTAAGCAACGCGGAGAGGTAAGCAAACCAGCTTCAGTTAAGCTCTGAAGAAGCCAACAGCAACCGACCCAGGATTGCCATATTATACCACATATACCTACATCGTAGCATGGCATACATTGGCATGCTTGAATCACTGGACATTATCTCATGCATAACTCAGGCGATCCGGTGGATATTATTTACCTCGACTTCAGAAAATCTTTTGAGAAAGTGCCACATCGACGCTTGTTATTCAAACTTGAAAAGGTCGGAGTGGGGGGTAAACTGCTAGAGTGGATAGCGGCGCTTTTAAGTCACCGGTCGTTCAGAGTTCGAATTGGTAACGCTTTTTCACTACCACAAAACGTGCCTAGTGGTTTTTCCCAGGGATCAGTGCTGGGACCAGTGCTATTCATAGTGTATACCATGGATTTGCTCTTCTGCATTCTCATGTGAGCGCTTATGCTGATGACACTAAATTATTTGAAAATCCTTCAACACATGCGGACGTACTGCAGAGAGACTTGAATACTATTTCCAAGTGGTGTTCAACTTGTCTATTGCGGTTGAATGCCCAAAAGTGCTCTGTGCTGCATGTTGGCAAGAACAATCCAGCCGGTTTGAACTATTATATCAATGGAAACTTTGTGTCAAGTGTCGATTCTGAGATGTGTGACTGTGATGTTCTGGCGACGCGCTGGCCACTTCAACTTAGACATACACCTTACGATGAGCGTCTCAAAATACTCAGTCTGCCAACATTAAGTCGGCGTCGGCTGCGAGAGGGTCTCATTCAAATCTACGTGCCCTTTGTGGTTTTAAGCAATGATGAACGCCTACGTAGTCATCCATTTGAAATAAAAAAGGAATAATTCAGGACAGCAACAACAGCTAAATATTTATTATATGTATAACATTCTCATGGTACTAACTATCAATATGCATACTTTATTCTTTGTAATAATAATTGCATAATAATGCATTGACGAACTCATATATTTTTTTAATTTTCCGGTTTAATAACAT